CTTCAAATTGTGCTTATGGCACTTTGTCTTCAATAACATTAGGCTTTTTCCCTATTAAAATCTTCTGGTGATTGGCTGCATTTTAATTCTCATTGTGATGTTACCTTGCATGTTTATTTATGATCCCCTCAAAATGTATGGAAACTATTCTCTGTTTTGCCGTTGAAGACATCTTTCTGCTTGGAAGACTAATTGAAGGGTTGGACGCCCTACAGTGTTCTGATTTCTTATGATATACTTTAACTGTATTCTCATTGTGGGCAAATAATACGGTTGACTATGGCTTGGTTGTTGCGTTTTCTGCATTTTGGGTCTTAGCTCAAAATTCATGGGAGCACGCTTTGTATGCATTCTTTCCTGCCTTCTCAGTGCACTTTATGCTGCTGACCGATTTCCATGGGCAAAAATAGTTGTTTGATTGTACTTAAGTGTTTTATCAGGATTAGTTTTTATTACAGTCGAAGTGCACTGTTAGTAGTTTTCTTCTCAGTTGCTCAGTTTCTAGTCCAAGTGGTAGCATTTTCTAGTGATCTTTAACCTCAATTGGTTCCGAACTCTTGGCTCAATAATTTCCTAATAAATCATAACCTCAACTGTTCCAAAGCTCTTGGCTCAATAATTTCCTATAATCATATTTTGGAGGAAAAGGAAAAAGGGAGAAATTTCTATCTGCTAGTTCCATCCCCTTCCAAAGTATGCTAATTGGTTTTAGGCTTTTAGCTCTAGTCTTAGAATCCTGTATATTTTGTTATAACTGTTCTCGGATTTAGAGTAAGTGACTTAGCTATGCTTTTTAAAATTTATCCTCATTGTACTATGACAATTTTTTTATGAAAAGAAAAAAAAAAAAAAGTTGATGCAAATGTGTAGCATTTAAAGTTTTGTTAATGAATCGGATATTATTTTCAATATAGCAAGAGACCCAAGGAGTCAAACTGCTATAACGTTAAATTTATCTATAAAATAACTCATCGGCAATCCCTTCTGACTCAACTGGTCAGAGATGGATAAATGTAATTGTCCTTCATATTTTTATTTAAAAGATTGAAAAAAAAAATTATTGAATCCATCCATTAGCTACAACAATGCAGTAGAACAAAAGTAAATAGATGACATAACTACTGTAGAAACAGAAGTAACTGAATAACAACCAATGAAACTCAAGGTGGGAAAATGAGACTCATGATCTTTCTTTAAAGTCTTTGAAATGGCTCGAATGTTCGAAGGTGTTGTTCGACAACAACCGCCAATGAGTTTAGCTCCAGAATCACGCCATCTTGTTGCAGACAAATCAAAATTTTCTTCACCAAAGCACTTTGATGGCTGCAAACCGTATCATAAGTATGAACTAGGTAAAAGAAGAGAAAAAGGATTGTTTCTATACTGTGTAATCTTCAACTGTGATTCTGAGTGTGTGAGAGAGGTTACATTCCATAAAACAACTCTACTCACCAGCCATCTTTTAGCTCTGCCATCCCAGACCTCGCCGCTATTGGGATAACAACTATTGCCTTCTCGGTCAGCTGAAAGTAAGTTAGAAAATAAATGCAGTTCAAACAACTATAATTGTAGATTTGATATTCACCATTACGAAAATGAGAAATAAGTCATATTATTTATTTAATTATATATATGACCAACCTCCTTGATTTGCAGATGAGAACTCCAATAAATGAGAGGAGCACAGTTTATGCCAACTGCTTTTACTTTGTTGCTCTATTTATTATATGAAGGCACTCCTTAAAACTTTCTCCTGATGGGGCATTTTCACCACTACGAACTGAAGCGATCCAAGATGGAATTTCCATGTTTTCTTCCTCCAACAACTCCACACATGCCTGCAAGTTGAGTCATGAAGCAGATGCTAAAATGTTATGACATGGTAAAGAGAAAACAAAAAGAAAAACAGAGAAAAGTGAAGGACTTTGCAGAAGCATGAATATGTCCATAACTGATCCACATTTACAATTCAAATCTGGTGGAAGAACAACCTGAGCTTCTAGCTTATTGGGAATGGTTTCAAGCAATCAAATCTGGACCTGCCTCCACAAGAACTTTAATCGGCGGGATGGAAATCTTTTAGCTTTTCAGATTTACATCAGTGCGGTAATTCCCACTGGAAGCAAAGAATTATATCAACACAGGTAGAAAGTTCTGTAATTAAATTGTAAATAACTATATAGGTTTTGAAGATAGCGTAAGCAACTAAATTACCTGTACTCAGAACCATCAGCGAATAAGCTCCATAACTCCAACGGAGGCTGCAACTAAAGCTCGGTTGTAGCTATGTCCAGGAACATTCTTAACAGCATCCCAGAATTATCGCGGGCTTCAACTGCTACTTTAACGCTTTTCTCGAGTAAGGACTCCGCGTCTTCAATGGACAATCCCCTGGACAGAATCCAGGAATTGTGGCCTACAAAAATAGAATTGAAAAATTGGAGTGCAAAGGATTTAGTAAGAAATCGGTCTCAGAATCAGATGAACTCCCACCTTCTTTCTTTGGCCGATACCGAATCATTTGGCAAAAAGAAGAATTTGATTTGCTAAAATCCAGACACACACACACACACACACACACACACATATATAACAGAATTATATTCATCCTTTATAACTATGATACGAAAGGGTAATGCTTTAAAAGGAATTGATCTTGCCACAATCAATTGCTCTGCTCTCCAATGAATTAGTCATTGTAGAAGAAACATAGCAGGCAGAAGAGAAATTTTCTCTCAGAATGATTTAATGAAGAATTAACAGCGATTTGCACTTTTCTGATCATACATACACAGCTCTGTACTTATCTCAAACTTATACTGAAAAATTTTACTGCTCTCAACAAAGGCTATGTCCCAGTCCCACCCATCCAAGGAAGCAAAGAAGGAATTAATAATAATTTATCCCATGGATTAGTAAAGAAGCATAGAGACACAAATCTCCGAAGTTTATATAACCAGACATTATATCCACAGGACATAAATGACACCAATATGGTTCCCTGTATTGGAAACGCTAACCTGGTAGGATGATGAAACCAAAATATCGCACCAGCCTCCCAGGTACTCTAAATGAACCTGCAAATCCAAAATTCATAACACTTATAACAAAGAAATAACAATAATAATGTATTTATAGTTACATTTACATCAAATTTGAAATACCACATTAAGAAAGCACATTATTTTACGCATAAAAAAATGAAGAAGAAAACGAACCGTTTTGATGAGGCGAGGTTCGTTGATCAAACAAAGAGCACTCCAAAGGGTCGTTAATGGAGCACCATGTTTCTCAAGCTGAGTTGCGAAACCTCCTCGATACAGCACAACCACCGGCCTTCTCGATCAAATCTTCCAACGAAGACGTTGTAATATTCTCCTTGTCCTACCATGTTGTATTTGTGAGTCAATAACTTCTCTGTAGAATAGGTGCTTTAAAAGAGTGTAGAGATTTAAGATTTTAAACACGTAAGAGAAGGCTTTAATGGTGCCTTAGGTTACAGACTGGATTAAGAGTTGAAATCCTTGGAGGATTGAATGAAAATTTGAGAGAAAATGGGGGAGGAGTGTGGCGGTGGAATGAAGAAAGTAAGGGTTTCAAACCCTTAACTTAGTTTATAAACACACTTTCCCATTTTGCCCTTACTCTTTCTTAGAAATTCCATCTATGTCCCTTAGACAATTACTATAATGCCCTCATTTTTAATGCATTCTCTATGAAATTCTATCTCTTTTCACTCCTCACTTTTTCAACTAATTTTGAGTGAAAATACCATTTTACCCTTAATGCAAGTTTAAGACATTTTCTTCATATTCTCTTAAAATCACTTTAACAAAAATTAACCAAGAGCTATAAAAACATAAATTAAATCATGTACCTCCATGTTGGGCGTTACAATGGTTACCTAATATATTTATACTACAATTTTTTAAAATTAATTTTATACATAGTAAATTGAGATTTCTTGAACTTTAATAAGTCCTATGGTATGTGTAGATTAAGGAGGAATTGTGGAATGAAAACTTGTATATTATATTGACGTTGACCACCAATTTTAGTATTTGTATTCTGTTTTCGTAAGGGTTTGCTTGTGAATTTTTTTTCCACTGGTTTTGAGGGTTTTAATTAGACTAGTTTTGAAGTGTTCTAAAATCATTACTTGCTAGATTTTTTATGCACTGGTTTTGACTGGTTCAAAAACTCTCCAGAACCAGTGTAGTGTATTTTTGAAGGGTTTATAAAACACCTCAAATAGGGGTGTTTTGGTTGGTTTTAAAATTTTATTCCACAAATACTCTATTCACTACAAAACTATCCCAATTATATCAAAAAAAAAAAAAAAAAAATTAACCATATTATGCATGTCTCCAACCATATTAAATATGAAATAATTTTAAACAATCATAAAAAAAAAAAAATTATTAAAATCTCATTTCTAGATGCTTTTTTGGAGAAGTGAAGTTACAACTTTTCGATCATTCCAGATGCTGTAAAGAATGACGAAGAAGGATAATGTGACTTTATCGCATTTGATAAGTTATAAAATACTAATAAGTGGAAAACAAATAAAAAACTTCCAAGTACTAGTTGAAGTTGAGATATTTTTATGGGCATATATGTAAATTTATTATTTTAAAAAACTGTTGCTAGAAAATAAACTTTCAAGCATAGGTTGAATGTTTTAAAAACCGTTACTAAAAATCCCTCAAAACTGTTATGGTGATTTATCCTCTAAACCGGTGATTTACACTTATAACCTCTACCATAAAACTCCCAAACGGACTAAAGCTTTGATAAGGAATGTTTGTAATGACGTGGGCTAACCCAAGCTTAGAAGAAGCCCACGATACAAGGACATACAACAAACATTCATAAAATAAAATAGTCAGCCAGTACGATGACGGTTTCAGGCTTTCAGCTTTGCCCATTTCCTCAGTCGATGATCGGAGGCTCTAGTTGACGTTGAACCTTCGTCCTATTTTGTTCTCTGTGAGTTATTATTTATGCTTCTTCTCTATCTGTTTTGGAATTGCAAAGCGCTCGACTGTTTTTATAATTTGAATTTCTGTTTCATTGTAGAGATTTTCTAACATGGTTTCAAATAATTAATTATTGTTTGTATTTTTCTGCTTCGAGGTTATCACTTTTGTGCACCTTTCTTTTTTCTATTGTTTCGCGTGGTTAACACAAACGCGAGTGTTCTCCTTTTGGAAGAATGTAGGGTTCATTGGTGCCCTAGTTTCAAACTCAACCTCGCTGGGCGGGTTTTGAGATTTGAAAATAAAGAAAGAAGGAGGAAAGTAATGTTGCAGTTACGTGAAGAATAAAACTATTTAAGGAGTTGTGTAGTGAGTGTTAGATATTTTTTGTATAAAAGAAATATTTAGAAGACTTCAGGATCTTGTAGGCTCGAGTACCATTACTGGGGATTGAAAGGTATTCTTATCTTTTGAGATATTGACTGGAGAAACCATTGTCTCTTATTGATGCATCAATAAATTTGTAAATTAACTGGGGTGATAGAAAAAAAAATATTCGTTTCTGGCCTCTTGATTAATCTCAACAGACTATAATTTTGGAAGAATGTACATGTAACAATTGATGGTTTGTTTCGAGAGAATAACAGAACACTCTTGGTAGCTTAAATGTACCCCAGCGATTAGTTGATCTGGACTGGGTGTTTCTGAGGAGAACTATGATCTTGATTGCTGTGTAGTGGGGAAACAATTATTACACGAAGTTTATCTTACTGTATGATTGGCTTGATGCCAGGATGTTCAAGAATCTCCATTAGTTATTGTAGCCAGGTAGCTTTTCTTAGATTGAAGATCATGTTTAATCTTCTGACCTCGGTCTGTTTGGGTTTATATAGAAAATATACTTTCACCTGTACAGGCACATTTACTGGATCGTATGGCAGGGAAAAATCGCCTCCTACATGACTCTGATGCTTTTCGAGGTTTCCGCGAAGGTCCTCTGCCTGTTTTGAACAGAGGTCCAGGACTGATGCCTGTACACCCTGCAGCTTTGGAGGAGGAGCTTGAAATTCAACAAAGAGAGATGCATCGGATGATTTCTGGTAATCGAAATATTATTGATGATAACACACATCTGCAAATGGAACTTACAGCTGCAAAAGATGAGATTCACAGATTGGGGCAGATTATACCCAAACTTCATGCTGACAAAGATGCTGAGGCCTGGGAATTGATTGATAGAGGATTGAAGCTAGAGGCTGAACTACGTACAGCTCAGTCTCTGAAAGTAGAGGTTGTGCAGTTGAGAGATGAAGTTCAAATATTGAATGCTTTGCGGCAACAATTGACCACTCAAGTCAGAGGCCTCATGCAGGACATTAATCGATCGCAAGCTGAGAATAAGCAACGAATTTCCATGAGGACTGATATAATTGGGATTCGCACTGAGCTTGATGAGGCCAGGTTTGAAATAGGACGTTGTTTTGGATAAATTCTTCCTTCTTGTTTGTGTTCACTCACTTTCACTGTCTATTTCTTTAGTGTAAACCACATACTAGGATCACCACAGTACAGGATGAATCTCTTTTCTTTTCTGTTAAATAATATTTATCCCCAGCAATATTAATAGGAGAGCTTTTGAATATGAGAAGGCGGTCAATGAGGAGCTAGCTGAACATAGGCAAATAATGGAGAAAAACCTCATTTCCATGGCTCCTGAGATTGAGACATTACAAGCAGAACTGCTGAATGCAGAGAGGAGAGGACGAAGATTTGGTAAACTATAGCTTTCATTTTTAATATTAGTAAATGAAGTGTACTTTTAAAGCTTAGGGTGTTGCCGTATTAGGACTCTTTTAGTTTACTGCACCTCCAGAAAGTAAGTTATTTTGAAGTTCTTTTATAATCGTATATGTGGTAGGGATTATGAATGTTGAATGGAAGCCCTGACATGAGATGTGCTAATGCTGGCGGTGCATTTGACGACAGCTATAGTGGTGCTTGGGGAATTTATGATAAGCATGGCTCTGCTCGATGCTGATCTCTTATGAAGTTGTTTTCAGATGCTCTGTTGAATTTGTATGTCTTGGTTTTAGCTTCTAAGTGATTGAGCAAGTTGTTTTCAGATGCTCTGTTGAATTTGTATGTCTTGGTTTTAGCTTCTAGGTGATTGAGCGTACGGATTCTTGTAGAGTGAGACAAAAGAAGATGCTGAACTTGTACAGAGTACTGATCAGTTTAATCCTTCAAATTGTGCTTATGGCACTTTGTCATTCAATAACATTATGCTTTTTCCCTAGTAAAAATCTTCTGGTGATTGGCTGCATTTTAATTCTCATTGTGATGTTACCTTGCATGTTTATTTTATGAATCCCCTCAAAATGTATGGAAACTATTCTCTGTTTATGCCGTTGAAGACATCTTTCTGCTTGGAAAGACTAATTGAAGGAGTTGGACGCCCTACAGTGTTCTGATTTCTTATGATATACTTTAAACTGTATTCTTCATTGTGGGCAAAATAATACGGTTGACTATGGCTTGGTTGTTGCGATTTTCTGCATTTTGGGGTTCTTAGCTCAAAATTCATGGGAGCACGCTTTGTATGCATGTCTTTCCTGCCTTCTCAGTGCACTTGTATGCTGCTGACCGATTTCCATGGGCAGAAAATAGTTGTTTGATTGTACTTAAGTGTTTTATCAGGATTAGTTTTTATTACAGTCGAAGTGCACTGTTGAAGTAGTTTTCTTCTTCAGTTGCCTCAGTTTCTAGTCCAATGGAGTTAGCATTTTCTAGTGATCTTTAACCTCAATTGGTTCCAGAACTCTTGGCTCAATAATTTCCTAATAAATCATAACCTCAACTGGTTCCAGAAGCTCTTGGCTCAATAATTTCCTAGTAAATCATATTTTGGAGGAAAAGGAAAAAGGGAGAAATTTCTATCTGCTAGTTCCATCCCCTTCCAAAGTATGCTAATTGGTTTTAGGCTTTTAGCTCCTAGTCTTAGAATCCTGTATATTTTGTTATAACTTGTTCTCGGATTTAGAGTAAGTTGACTTAGCTATGCTTTTTAAAATTTTATCCTCATTGTACTATGACAATTTTTTTATGAAAAGAAAAAAAAAAAAAAAGTTTGATGCAAATGTGTAGCATTTAAAAGAGTTTGTTAATGAATCGGGATAGTATTTTCAATATTAGCAAGAGACCCAAGAGTCAAACTGCTATAACGTTAAATTTATCTATAAAATAACTCATCGGCAATTCCCTTCTGACTCAACTGGTCAGAGATGGGATAAATGTAATTGTCCTTCATATGTTATTTATAAAGATTGAAAAAAAAAATTAATTGAATAAACATCCATTAGCTACAACAAATGCAGTAGGAACAAAAGTAAATAGATGACATAACTACTGTAGAAACAGAAGTAACTGAATAACAACCAATGAAACTCAAGGTGGGAAAATGAGACTCATGATCTTTCTTTAAAAGTCTTTGAAATGGCTCGAATGTTCGAAGGTGTTGTTCGACAACAACCGCCAATGAGTTTAGCTCCTGAATCACGCCATCTTGTTGCAAACAACTCAAAATTTTCTTCACCAAAGCACTTTGATGGCTGCAAACCGTATCATATAGTATGAACTAGGTGAAGAAGAAGAAGAAGAAAGGATTGTTTCTATATCTGTGTAATCTTCAACTGTGATTCTGAGTGCGTGAGAGAGAGGTTAAATTCCATAAAATAACTCATACTCACCAGCCATCTTTTAGCTCTGCCATCCCAGACCTCGCCGCTATTGGGATAAACAACTATTGCCTTCTCGGTCAGCTGAAAGTAAGTTAAGAAAATCAAATGCAGTTCAAACAACTATAATTGTAGATTTGATATTCACCATTAAGAAAATGAGAAATAAGTCATTTCATTTATTTAAATTATCTATAATGACCAACCTCCTTGAATTTGCAGATGAGACTCTCAATAAAATGTGGAGGAGCACAGTTTATGCCAACTGCTTTTACTTTGTTGCTCTTATTTATTATATGAAGGCACTCCTTAAAACTTTCTCCTGATGGGGCATTTTCACCATCTACAGAACTGAAGCAGATCCAAGATGGAATTTCCATGTTTTCTTCCTCCAATAACTCCACAAATGCCTGCAAGTTGAGTCATGAAGAGCAGATGCTAAAATGTTATGACATGGTAAAGAGGAAAACAAAAAGAAAAACAGAGAAAAGTGAAGGACATTTTGCAGAAGCATGAATATGTCCATTACTGATCCACAATTTACAATTCAAATCTGGTGGAAGAACAAACCTGAGCTTCTAGCTTATTGGGAATGGTTTCAAAAGCAATCAAATCTGGACCTGCCTCCACAAGAACTTGTAATCTGCGGCGATGGAAATCTTTTAGCTTTTCCAGATTTACATCAGGTCCGTAATTCCCACTGGAAGTAAAGAATTTTATCAACTACAGGCAGAAAGTTCTGTAATTAAATTGTAAATAACTATATAAGTATTGAAGATAGCGTAAGCAACTAAATTACCTGTACTCAGAACCATCAGCGAGATAAGCTCCATAACTTCCAACGGAGGCTGCAACTAAAGCTCGGTTGTAGCTATGTCCAGGAACATTCTTAACAGCATCCCAGAATTTATCGCGGGCTTCAACTGCTACTTTAACGCTTTTCTCGAGTAAGGACTCCGTGTTTTCAATGGACAATCCCCTGGACAGAAATCCAGGAATTGTGGCCTGCAAAAATAGAATTGAAAAATTGGATTGCAAAGGATTTAGTAAGAAAATCAAGTCTCAGAATCAGATGAACTCCAACACTTCTTTCTTTGGCCGATACAACAGAATCATTTGGCAAAAAGAAGAATTTGATTTGCATAAATACCAGACACACACACACACACACACACACACACATATATATACAGAATTATATTCATCCTTTATAACCATATGATACGAAAGGGTAATGCTTTAAAAAGGAATTGATCTTGCCACAATCAAATGCATCTGCTCTCTAATGAATTAGTCATTGTAGAAGAAACATTAGCAGGCAGAGAGAGAGAATTTTCTCTCAGAATGATTTAATGAAAGAATTTAACAGCGATTTGCACATTTTCTGATCATACATACACAGCTCTGTACTTATCTCAAACTTATACTGAAGAATTTTACTGCTCTCAACAAAGGCTTATATCCCAGTCCCACCCATACAAGGAAGCAAAGAAGGAATTAATAATAGATTTATCCCATGGATTAGTAAAGAAGCATAGAGAAGCAAAATCTCCGAAGTTTATATCATAACCAGACATTATATTACGCAGGACATAAGTGACACTCCCTGTAAATTGGAAAACGCGAACCTGGTAGGATGATGAAACCAAAATATCAGCACCAGCCTCCAGGTACTCTAAATGAACCTGCAAATCCAAAATTCATAACAACTTATAACAAAGAAATAATAATAATAATGTATGTTTATAGTTACATTTACATCAAATTTGAAATACCACATTAAGAAAGCACATTATTTTACGCATAAAAAAATGAAGAAGAAAACGAGACCGTTTTGATGAGGTGAGGTTCGTTGATCAAACAAAGAGCACTCCAAAGAGGGTCGTTAATGGAAGCACCGTGTTTCTCAAGCTGAGTTGCGAAACCTCCATCGACCACAGCACAACCACCGGCCTTCTCGATCAAATCTTCCAACGAAGACGTTGTAATATACTCCTTGTCCTTACCCATGTTTTGTATTTGTGAGTCAATAACTTCTCTGTAGAATAGGTGCTTTAAAAGAGTGTAGAGATTTAAGATTTTATAAACACGTAAGAGAAGGCTTTAATGGTGCCGGTGACAGATGGTTAAGAGTTGTATTTAACTATTTATTCGATGCGTGTAATTTTTGTAAAAAGAACGCGGACCAAATAATGCTTTAGGTTCAACTTTTGTGCTCTTCTTACACCACCTCTCTTTTGATCTGGATAAAGATTTATCATTGATTGATAATTTAATTTGATAAATTTTCTCTTACAATTTGACGTGGTAGTTCGTAAATAGGTAGGTAAGACGAAACCTATTTACGAGTTACCACATTAATGTTGTGAAAAAAAGTTTATAAATATTACAATTTTCTTTTTCATCTTAAACCCCACCTCCTACACCATTTATCGACCAATTACATGAAACTTCGATTGGGTCAATCTGTTGAGCAGATTGGTGAAATTTATGTTTAAGGTTAAAATATATCACATTAGGGAATAAAAATAATGTTTTATTTAATTACTCATAAATTAAATTTGCATGGTTTCATTGTTCTTAGGTTTTAAAGAAAATGTACATTTATTTTAACTCAAGTTTTGACTTGATTATTGTGGACTAAATAGTAGTTGAATTTTTCTCTTTTGCTTGACCATCAAACTGTGGCGGTAGTTGGTGGGTGCCATTTCAAAATTTGGTGGTAGGTGAGAAGACTATATTCACTCATTTTTATTTTATTTTTAATATGTTTGAAAACTTGTAATAGATTTTTGAAATTAGCTTTGACTTTCTTCTACATTTTTTTTTTTTTTTAATTACTATATTACCATTTTAGTTCGCAGGGCAAAGTCAAGTCCAGTCCAGTCAAGATTTTGATTTTAAGGAGGCAAAAATATAAATATAAGTTTAAGTTCAATAATAAGAATTTTGGGTTTATTTCATTTTCTTTTTATGAGATCGTTGAGAATCAAATATATTTATTTCGTTTAAAAATTTATAAATGGTTCTATGAAGGAGTGTTTGATATTTTTAAGATAAGGTTTTGATAATTATAAGAGGGTTTTGATACTTTATGAATGAAACGGATAAATTTAGTTATAAGCGATTTCATAAGAGAAAATAAAATAAGCCTTAGAACTGGCCTTATTTTATTCAATTCTTGAAAATTTTGTTACCAACATTAATGTTGACAATTATAGATAACTCAAGTAAAAATCCTATACAACAAATGATTTTTGTTAACCAATGTCAGGAGAATTTTTAAAATTTAGAAAAGAAATGAAAATGTATTGTGTAATCTTTAATTTTCTTTATGCATTGTTCATATAAAACTCTTATAGTATACTATTACTATAGAACGAAATGAAAAACAAGTGCTACTAGTTCCCAATTATATGGTAAAAACTTCTATTATATGTTTAAATTCATATCACATGATTATAAAGAAGGAATCGAGGCTTCCACCTTGAAAGGAAACAACTCACTGCCCATTGAAACAATTGATAAAAGTTCACAAAGTTATATATTTAAGTTAAAGTATTACTTTCTTGGAGAATAATATTAGATATACAAATTTGTATTTAAGAATACAACCATAACAATGAGTAATATGTTGATAATCTCCGAAACCAAGTAAGGAAAGTGTCTTTCTAAGACAAAGAGAAGGCAAGAAAATGTAAGTAATTAATTTTTTTTTTTTTCTTTTATGATCAGGAGTATTCGGGCCAACTTATGTGTACTTCAATTAATCTTTTGAGACTCTAGAACTATCGGTTGGATAAGAGCTCCGGTAACTAACCTTGTTAGCATCCAAGGAAGAACTCGAACTCATAACCTTTTGAGTAATACACCCAAGAGTCCTTATTGAACCGTTCGACCACCCAGAGGTATAATTAAAATGATGGCTGTATAAATGGTACAAGTAAGGTGTTAAGAGTATAAATTGTAGGTGGAGATAATCTTAAATGAAGTAGAGTAGAAAAGAGGAGGTTGTGAAAAGGACATGGGGGTTGGTGAAAATGTGGATGTCTTCCTTAACTTGTGTGTTATGTTTAAATTTTCAAAATCAAAATTGTTACTTTAAACGCATTTAATTTCTTACAGAAAGAAATTAGATGGAGGGTGGTGAGCGACTAAAAACCTCATGCACAGCAGCAGCAGGCGATTTATTAGTATTATGGCAAGTTATTAGTTGATTGCATTAATCAAATTATAATATTTTTATTAGCAATTCAAAGATTTTGTGTTATTTATATGTGACTAAGGTATGAAACGAAAATGATATGTAAGTAAAATTGTAACGGCCCAACTTCCATTATTTAGCCCATTTACTTTATTCTGGACCGGTTCTTAAGTTTCCCAAACCCGTTTGATATGGACTCTTACTTGAGATTTGTTCAATCGGGCTACCATGACTTTTGTCCTGAGTGATGTCGTTTGTTCTTCACTCCTTTATCTAATTAGGTCATATGACTCACACTCTATCTTAAATAAGGGTTAAATAGTAATTGACATTAAACATGAACATATGGATTGATTGAGTAGTATTAGTTATTTGATGTAAAACAAAAACACTTTCATAATCTCTTGTAAATTATAATTTTGACACCTGTAAACAAATAGAAGTTATGAAAAAGATGATTGTTTCCTTTTATTATATACTCTCTCTCGAAACATGAGGTGGGATCATTTGATAATAGTGATGGGACTATATATCAACTACTCTTTGGTCTTGTTATACCGTTTGCTGTCAATAGTAAGCTATGAGGCAATTTAATGAGATTTGATTATGTTACGTGGATTATCAGCCTAACCCCTCTAGAAGACACATGTCAAGTGCCAGCGGGTCTAGCACTAAATTCCAAGACATCTCAAATTTTATGGGTCGGCTATGGAAGATGATCTTGCCCTAGAAGAAGAAAAGAACAATAACATGAAGGTCAAGGAGCAGACACGTATACACTTTCCACAGTTTTCTCTAACGTAAATAGAAAGAAGACAAGATAATNCAATAGTAAGCTATGAGGCAATTTAATGAGATTTGATTATGTTACGTGGATTATCAGCCTAACCCCTCTAGAAGACACATGTCAAGTGCCAGCGGGTCTAGCACTAAATTCCAAGACATCTCAAATTTTATGGGTAGGTTATGGAAGATGATCTTGCCCTAGAAGAAGAAAAGAACAAGAACATAAAGGTCACGGAACAGGTACTGTGTACACTCTCCACAATTTTCTTTAACGTAAATAGAAAGAAGACAAGATAATGAATAATAACGCTATTTTTGACATGAATGCTTTAAGAATAGAGCAACACTAGTCTTACAAATAGACATACAAAGAGCCATACAAAGAGACAATCTCTGCCCTTAATAGAAGGGAAAAAGAGAGAGGGAGAGAGAGAAAGACAATCATGAATTTTAAGGGTAGGGATTATCTCTTTGTATACCTCTTTATAAGACTAATGTTACTCTTAAGAATATTCATATGAAACATAATCATTTTTTGTAGCAGAAATTAGTATTTACTCTATGCAGTCCAAATATATGAGAGAAATTCAGCTGACCAAAGTATCAAATGGGACACACTAGCAAATCCATTTGTTGGCTCTTATTAACATTTGTTTGTTCATTTTGCGGGTATCCGAAACCCAATCCAAGGACTAAAGCATTGACCACTCCTTATGTGCAATGCATAGGGGTCCTACCAACTATTAGGATAGAAAATTCAGAGGGCAAAAACATTCAATTTATTTTTGAGTTTTCCCCTTTTCATTTGTAAAATCCAATTATTATGATCTCAAGCAACTGCCGTAAAAGATGAAAAATGATGCGTAGAAGCGACGAGTTGTGGCCGATCACACGTACTATACCGATCGTAAGCTGCAGAAGCAACACTTCACATCGATTTTCTCATCATTTATCTTTTAGATTTAAAATAGATATTTATATGTATTATCAATTTTGAGTGGTTTGACCGAAATTAACAGAGACAGTTTTTACATGAAAATAGTGCATTTCAAGATTTAAAAAACCAATAAAATAAATATTAGATTGAGAAAAATAATATCACTTTTAGATTACTTGTCGCTTCATTTGTATTCTATAAGAGCCCGAAATAGCCATTCAATATTGTAGCCTACAGGAAGCCTAACGCTGAATCTTCAAGGCCCACATGCTTTTTCTGTTTAAACTTCAAACCCTCTAAGGCAAGGCCTTTCGCTATTACGCAAAAAATCAGTAAGTTAGTGTTCTTAACCCTTTACATATTTTCTCATTAAATTAAAAGTATATTCATATATACCCATCTAATACTTCAAATGATAAAAATGTAGAAATTTAGGGTTTAAAAAATGACCAAAATTTGGGGTGCTATATAAAATTGGCCAAAATCCTAAAGCCTATACTCAAACTGAGAAAATTTCGCTTATATATGAGATAAATTTTGGGAAAAATGACATTTGGTGGTTATATGGGTATCGATTTTAGCATTTTGGTCAATTTTTTGAATACCCCAAAATTTTGGTTAATTTTTAAAAACCCAAAAAAATTAATGATCTAGATTAACATAATGCTAGACAATACGTCAAATCAAATATATAATATAACACTAAGGGTACGTTTGGATCGGGGGCATATAAGATAAAGGGAGTAAATTTCGTTTGTTTTGCAAGATTCTGGTGTTTGGTTTGCAAGTAATAAAATATTACGAGAATCTTTTATCGTAAATAGTGTTTACTGTTGGTAATGTGGGGGGTAATCCGATACTCTCCCCCACCTCTGGGATTAAAACATTACCGGGTAATATGATTTTTATACCTATTTTACCCTTAATTAAATACCATTTCGGATACAATTGCTCTCAAATGTCTACCAAATAACAATACTCAACCCCCTTCATTTGAGAAATTAGCTAAAACACCCCAGTAAAAAAAAAAAAGTTTAAAAATTAACAAAATACCGCTAACCACCCGAACCACCGCCTGTCGTTACTCACCATCGCCGCCCACCAGCTTCGGTTGCCATAATGGCGCACGATCGGCGATATTTGACCGGTGATGCACCGATAAGGCCTTTTCCGGCCATGGATCTGTGATCCATGGTTGGAAGCGGCTAGGTCTGGTCGTGCCATGAAACAGCCATAGATAT